AGTCTTAAGATGGGTACAATCTTTATAAGGTTCCTTTTACAAATCATAGCAGAAATTCAAAGTTATTCAGGGTGAGGAATGATGAAAAGTATGCCATAACACACCCCATTCCTTATATATTAGGTTGTGACATTGGGATGTTAGTAGAAAGGGAAAGATCTTACATGATAACACTGTAATTCATGTTTTAACACTTTAACTTCATTGTTAATAGGAAAGGAAGCCTACTGAGAAATCCTGTTTTCTAAAGAATTAGGACCGAGATTATGATTCCAGAGAAATTGGGAGCCCATGGTTTAAGCTGCAGAATTTGTAGGACCAATTTGCTTTCTATGGTCTTCTAAATCATCCAGTCATCCCTTCAACTAATCTTCTGTAATTAATTGGCAGTTGGAAGGGAGGAATGACAAGTTTGCTAACCCCAGATTTTATGTGCAATGGAGCAAAACAAGTTTTCCATCTAAGTTGCAGAGAACTGATAGGCTAAAGAAGCAGGAACAAAAGTCAATGAGACTATGAAATTTATCAGTATTGTAAATAATGTGACATTATTATTATATCTCACATATTCATGCTTTCTTTTACAATCAAAATTAAGGCAACTGCCTAGCCTAGAGGGATTGGTTGAAAAATTCAATCTAGTTTTCAAGTGCTGAGCTGATTCTAAACCCCAAGTCTAATAATCCAACCTCTGATAGCCCTGCAATGGCAACACATATAGTAAGGAACAATAACTTGATGCTAGTTTAATAAAGGAACTCCTTTATGCTATATTACTGTAAAAGTGCAGAGGGGCATTGTGTATAGAGGACACGCTTCTTGGATTTTCTCTTCTTTGCAGAAAAAAGAAAGAATGGGTGCCAGCGCTGCTCATTTCCCAGTTGTTTAATAGGAGAAGTGTTTGCTAGACTGAACCTTATTTCTCTTACTTATTGGGGAGAGAGACAATAAAAATTCTGAAATGTACCATCAACAGTGTAGTGGATGCCAACGAAAAGCTTATAACTGAGAAGTACTGCAGAGCCACATTAAAACCACAGAGCTAATTATTATCTTTATTCCTTCATATTTTGCAACATATTTCTTTAATCTACTTCTTTTGTGGCCGAGCGTTTCGCGTTTTCCTATTCATCTTGATTTTCCAGGTTTTAGAATTTTTCTCACTCCTTTCTTTTTTCCCTTCACTGCCTTCCTTTTCTTTGCCTCTTTCAGAATTAAAAGCTCTTCCACACTCAGATTCCCTACCCCTTTTATTCATCGGCTGTTGTTTTGATAAGCCATCTTTTTATCAATTGTATCAGGCTATAAGCAGCAAGCCTACTACTTCACTTATAGGATATTACATGAACACTTCAGTAATAATAACAGTACGAAGATGTAACCAATTTCTGCCACTCCAAAGATTAGAAATAAATTGCCAAGCAATATGATTGTGCAGGAGAGTGTGTGAAGGAAAGATTTCAGGTTGGGTAAAAAAGAAGAAAAGATTTTATGGGTTTTCAAATATTCATGAGCTCTCTAAAAATAATTTCATTTACATCATGGTAGAAAACCTAATGGGGACATGTATATCTACATTTTTAATTGTATTCAAAAAGCAGCTAACAAGAAAAATCTTAGAAAATATGCACATTGTATTTTGATAATGCTTTATTTGAAAAAGATTATCGAAAGTATTTACATTGCAGTCCTATATATATTTTCTCAGAGGTACATTCTTTGCTTCCAATGAGTCTTTTGTCACAGAAAGTAGCTAATTGGGTACAATGGGTACCGAACCAGTAGGGACAACAGCCCCCCTTCCCCCACAAACTGGTTTCCCGGTTGCCACTGCCATTGCCAGCTTCTTTTTCAGACATTTTTTCATGTTCTTCACAAGCGCAGAACAATTTACAGACAACATTGCCGGCAGCAATGCCAGCAGCAACCCACCCCTGCATCATATATAAGAGTTTATACCTGGTATCTTAAAATCTATTTGTAGAACTATTCAAAATCAGTTTATGAAAATGGCATTGTGTAGATTGGACTATATAACAAGACTAAGTTCAGTAAGAAGCCAGTATTTTCCCCTAAGTGAGAACTGCAAAATTTAACAGCCTACTTTTCTTTCACTTCAGAGAAGAAAAAAATATATAAAACTGGCTTCTGCAGGCAAGCCTTTGAACACCTGGCATCTGCATTTAGTGTTTCTGTGTTTAGTGCAGTGTCACCGGCTTTGTGTAGACTGTATCATATTATTAGCAAGCATGGAATCAGGTATGATAGCTAAATTAACCTTTTATTAGCCTAATCCAGCTAAATTAACCTTTTATTAATCTAATCCAGCTAAAATTGTTATTGGCTCCAGCTGCAAAAGCTGCACTGCACATCTGACGGAACTGATTCAGAATTAGTTAGTCATTATTTCTATTTTCTTTGTTACAGAATGATTGGGCTACAAGACTTATGACTTCAGGTTCTTAAGGACTCATGCACAATTCCCTTTAGTTGCATAGGAGCCTATGGCTTTGAGTCTAAGGAGCCTGCACAATTACAACTACAAATCAGGTTTCAGTATCTTGATGTTTCCTGCTGTGATTCCTTTCTAAAGCATCATTTAAATTATGCTTAGGTATCCATTTAAATTTACAAATGTTTAACTATAGAAATAGAGTCAAATCAATTGACTGTCCCTAGGAGTGTCATTGTAGGACAAGACACAAAAACATGCTTTTCCTATCAGCTATTATGTATGCATTATTATTCCCACCTCCATTGGTATGAATTGTTATTCCCAGCATTTGGGAAAGACATCCACAAAGCTCCTGTTTGCTTTTTCTTTGAGGCAGACAACCAGTTATCCTTAAGTAAATATAATCCTCAGCTATGTTAGGACATCTGCAGTAGGTAAGGTTAATGGAAATAAACTGAGCCGAGGGTTAGTAGTCAACTTGCAATTAACAATTGTAATTGTAACCTCACAGAGTCCTACGTTAAGGGCACAAATAGTCATGCAAGGGCATTGTGTTATGTTTCACTGGTGCTTGTAACCATCAATGCTTATACAGGAGTCAAGTGAACATCCTTATCCTAAATCAGAATATACACTATGTAAAAATAAGAGAAATCCCTCCCCAAGGTCATGTAAAACTGTGGTGGGGTGTAGTCCAGCCCCCCCCCCCGGGGGGGGGGTTCTTGTCTGAGGATCTAAGAGACAACACAGCTTAGAATTTTTGGTATGCAGGAAAAGGATTAAGGTAAAACATGTCCTTCATCCAACAGATTACAGGATATTATAAGTTCTGCAGATAAGTGCTTTAGTCTGACAAGATTCCTGCCTATAGGTGTGCAACAATAAAAAATACTACTTGGACGTAACTCCTTGTGATGTTCCTTGGGTCTGACAGAAACTGTGAAAATGGGAACTTAAGGAAAAATAGTCTGTATATGGTTCCTTTCTGCATCTGGATAGCCCTTTAAAGCTAATTTAATACATATAGGCAAATGCCTATTGCCAGTAAATCATAATGAGTGACTGAAGGGAAATCCATAATTTACAGCTTTAAACATTTCAACTGTCAACAGACACATAGAGAAAAACAACATTTGGACATTATTCAAAAGAGACCACAAAAATGCTACAAAAAGAAACAAAAAGCTCAGAACACTTCCTGGCTAGTAATCAACACCCAGATAAGAAAGGATTAATACCAGACAATCAATCAAGCAGTAAACAACAGTCTAATCAAGGAACTACCAAAGAGAGAACAACACCCTACCCAATACTACTCTGTATAAACAGAGAGCAAACCCCATGCCCTTTTAGCATTAAAGATGTTGCCTTGTTGAGTAACAAAATGTACGCAAGCAAACAACTAAGCTCAGAGAACATCAAGGACTCTGTTGTTCAACCATGAACTACATATAAAAGTAGTCCTTGTATTAAAACCATTCATTCAGTGACTGAAGTTACAACCAGCGGTGGGATGCTGCCTGGTCAGACTGGTTCGGGCGAACCGGTAGTTGTGATCACTGGCTGGGGCCGTCCACCCGTCCTTGCGCTATTCTTTCCATTTATAACTAACTTTCTGACTCGTTCCCCCTACCTACACTGCCCAGCTGAGTTCCACACCACACCTGCTGTACTCACTGGAGCTGCCTGGATTGATTAGCTGCATGTTTGAAGCTCCATTTAAGTCCTGAAGAGCACGTGCATGTTCACAGCCAGCGAACCAGTTGTTAAGGTAAGTGCAGCCCACCTCTTGTTACAACAGCACTGAAAAAACTGCCTTACAACTGCTTTTCACACTTGCAAACATTGCAGCATCCCCATGATTACATGATCAGAATGTGGATGCTTAACAACTGACATTTATTTATGACGATGGCAGTATCCTGATATCTTTTGCGACCTTCTGACAAGCAAAGTCAATGGGGAAGCCAGATTCACTTAAAAACCATGTTATTAACCTAACAACTGCAGTATTAACAACTGTGTCAAAAAGGTCATAAAATGGAGAGCAACTCACTTAATGAAAGCCTTGCTTAGCAATGGAAAATTTGGGCTGTACTGTCGTTGTAAGTCGAGGACTACCTATATTTTTTTTTCCTAGTGGAAAGCTGTAACTTGCAGTTAGGTGAGGGATGTGTATCCATCCAAATTGTTCACAGGGCTTGAGTGCTCCCTTTCATAATGGAACAGAGTTACATGTTGAAAAATATGTAACTTCTTAAGGGATTGCCTCTGGTTATGTGAAATACTTTGATATGTTAAAATGCTTTTTAAGACTTTTCTTAAATGCTGAGATGCATGACAACGGAACACTTCTCTCACAAACATGAAACAATCAAACCTGTAGAGTTACCCAGCTCCTTATCATGTTTACCAAGAAAAATTTGCTAAGCAGTTTGACATAAGTTTATTGATGTCCATAAGCTTGCTTTGCAGAAATGCCAGATGCATGAATGTAACTAATGCTGAATCATAACAATTCCATCAGCATGAGCAATTGTTGACACCCACAGCCAGGTTTTATCGCTTATTTTCCTTTATCGCCTCTGGAAGGTATATAGTGAAAGAAAACCTCTGTGTATTTCTGCAATCGCAAGAGGCACCACACCGTTTACCTGGGGAGAACAGAAAATGAGGTAAGGAGACAGCTCAGCAACTATCTGCCACAAAGTGCTGATGGGATTTGTTTCTTACATTCTTCTCACCTTGACTCAAATTGCTTTGCTGCTGTTGAAACAAAGAGAAACAGGGGCTGGGACAGGAAACGAGGTGGCAGCTTGGCAATTACGGGATATACGAAATGGCAGTAACTGTGTGCAGGAAATAGCAAAAGGCTGACAGTGCGAAGTTGTGGAGAGAAGAAGCTGCTGATCTATATTAGAACTAGGAGGAACTTGTTGGAGAGAAGAACTGGTAGAGATGGAAGATCACAGCAAAATAGTCCTAATAAAGGCTCAATGCACTGTGAGCATAATATGCCACAGAATGAAAATATAAAATAAAAGTTTTGGAGGATAAAGTGGAGGATAAATTAGGCTGCATGTAATGAATGACTAGAGCTTGGCACTCTAGTTTACCCAAAGAGTATATAATCCAATATTACTTTTGGTCAACATCATCAACAAAATCATGATTGCATGATCAGATATGACTACAACTTTCATCAGAATTCCAGTGCCAGATTGCAGGAAAAATTATGAATTCTTCATCCTTTGCATGTTGGTCCTGAGCCAGATTAGGGGCCACCACCTTTCTTCTTTAATTGGAAACTTAAAAATCAGAAGTGAGATTAGTTGATGTGAATTATGTTTTATTTACTTCGCCTCTTAGAGTGATCCACCATCTAGTTAGGGACCAAGTAGTGGGCCTTGATCAATGGTAGGACAATATAAACCACGTGTACTCCACCATGGATAGACCCATCTCTTTTCTACTTTCTGCCACTGCCCCCACTCCCCCCCCCACCCCCGTTCCCCTGCTTCCAAGTCTTATTCTGCTACTAGTAATGCCATTGGTAAAAGCCAAATGCTGAAAAATCCATTCATGACTTTAGTGTGTTATCAGCTCTTTCCTGGCAGGAAGATTATCATTGACCATAAAGGATTTTAAGAGTAACTAAACAACTGCTGTGATTTGTAGCAATTGAGCTAAAGGTGTAGACAAAATATACGCTAAAAGGTGAATAATTTTAGAAATATATTACTTTATCTGCTTATTTATTTAATTCAAATTAAACCAAGAAGATTGGGAAAGCAACCTCAAATCAGAAAACAAAATATATTACCGGTAACTAGAAAGGAAAACAATAAAAAGAACAACCACTGTTGTCATACTCCTCAAAACTTGGGTGACCAGGTATGTTTCCAATTAGCAGTGAAATAAAATCACACTGGCAATATTATGAGATAGCATTTCATAATCAGTGTGCATGATTGAGAAAACTTTCAAACCTAAACCAGGATCAGGACTTAGGCTATGTTATGTTATGCAGAGAGTGCATCCCCATTCACATTAGCATTCTAAGTAACCAAATATTTAACTAAACCTCTTCCTCAATTGTAGGAGGAGGAGCAAAGTATCCTTAGCTAATCCTCAACATGGAGGGAAGCTTTTGTATTCCGTAGGTTTTCTTTTGGGGAAAGGATTCTACTACTGGGGTGGGAGAAGGGATGTTGGATAAAGCTGGGGGCAGGGGGATAGATTTGTAGGATGCGTTTCCTTATAAAGTTTACATGCTAACTGTGTCTTGTTCTTATCAGGAATCTTCAAGAAATTCCATAAATCACCCTTCTGCAACTTATGTCAAAATTAATTACAGCAAATTCTGTAGGCTTTGAATATTTCTTATACAAGTAGGCTCACAATTGCCTGTCTAATGACTGTTTGAAGTTAGTATGACATTGAAAAAGTAACTTTATAACTATGTAACTATTGCAGTGTCCTTGTGATCATGTGATTGAGATTCAGGTGTTTCACAATCGGTAGGTGTTTACAATTGTTATAGCGTCCCACAGACATGTGATTGCCATTTGTGTACTTTGCAGCTAGTTTGTGACAAAGACAATGAAAAAGCCAGCAGTAAAATTGCCAACAGCAGTCATGTAATATTTCACTTAACAACTGCAGGTGATTCACTTAGCAACTGCAACCAATTTAAAGCCATATGTTTATCACAGCCACATGTTGTATTATTTCAGTGGCTGCCAAACTTGGCAACTTTAAGACTTGTGGACTTCAACTCCCAGAATTCTCCAGCCAGCTCTGCTCTGCTGGCTGGAGAATTCTGGGAGTTGAAGTCCACAAGTCTTAAAGTTGCCAAGTTTGGGAACCACTGTATTACTTGATTGCTGCACTGCTTAGCAACAGAGTTGCCAGCTCTAATTGTATTTGTTAAGCAAGGACTGTGAATGTTCAGGTCTGAAGAAGGTCACAGAGCAAATACTACTAATATTATTTAACATTTTGTAAATTTTGATACCTACATAAATACCATACGTTATTCAGTGGTATGCAAGATATTTTTCAGATTGAATTCTTCTAATCCCTAGCCTTCCTAATAAGTGCTCATCCACTCCTTTAAAATGCTGGATGACTTGAAGCCAGTCTTAGTCTCTCAGCCCAACTCACACACAAAGTTATTTATTGCGTGGAGAATAGAAGGAGGAAAGAGTTTTAGGTATGCTCATTCCCTTGAATTATTTATAAAAATAATTAAAGTTGTGATGAAATTAAATAAAATACACATAATAAATTAATTTTAATTTTAAATAAATTTTAAAAATTAGTTATGAAGCACATAAAATATTTGATTTCTTGTGACAACAAACTGATACACAGGTTTCCATTCATTTGTTCATTCATTCATTCATTCTTACTCATCGATCTGACTTGTTAAACTATATCACGGTGTCAGACTTGCTGTGTCACTTTGCTGTCATGTGTCGTCTCCAGAGGTGGGTTGCTCCCGGTTCAGCCAGGTTCGGACGGACCGATAGTGGCAGTGGCAGGAGGCCACGCCCACCCACCCAGACACTTCTGTGCATGTGCAGAAGTGCTGCATACATGTTGAAAGCACGAGCGAACCGGTAGTAAACCAGTTAGCAACCCACCACTGGTGGGTTTTTCCTCTTTGCGGAGTTGGGGTGGGTGTGGTCTGGACGTGATGCACCTGGCCTGCAGGCTGCCAGTTTGACACCCCTGAACTATATCCATTTATTTAGGCAACACTTGTATTCCATCATTTACACAGAATTCCTTATTGCTGGATCCAATCTGGATTGATCACCGGGACCAGAGGTTTAGTCCAGAGTTTTTGAACTCATGTTGGAGCTCATCCTCAGGGAACTTTTCACTCACCAAATGTGACTAAGCCTCTGGTCCCAGTCAAATTGGATGCAGTAACATTATATTGGGATACATATGTTTGCCTTCATTCTTGAGAGTTCCTTATATAGATACAAGTGACTATACAGGTTGGAAATAGTAGCCCCAGAAGAGCTGGGGAAGATAAAACAATATTCTAATTATGCAACTCAGATTTCTATTTGGAATTTGTGTGTATCCTGGCCCTGTATTAATCTATGGTAAGGTACAACTTGCATCTTATAAACACAGTTTGAAAGATTGGAAGTATATCTTAAGCTGTTGCCCCTGTTTTCATTAGCATGCAATTTTCTTCACTAAATCTCTCTGGCTTAGAGATTGCTTCATTTTTCCAAACAATATTATTGAAATGAGATCCCCTTGCTATTTGTACAATAAAATCTGTCTAGATAGAACTCAGCAGGGTAAAATAAATCTTTTATTTTTCGGGTAATAAGAAAATAACTTATTTTTCAACATTTTCAAATCAAACATCATTCTGTGTTCTTCAGCATACACGCACGCACGCACACACACACAAACATATACACAATTCACTGTAATGTTCATCTTGCTGTTTGTTCAGGAATTACATTTATTTCTACAAATATGTTAAATGTTATGCACCTTCTTTATTTTGTATTGTATTGTATTATTAAATCTGGATCTGGAAGCAGAAAACTATATGTGTATACTGGGTGAGAATAACAATATTTTAACAATGAACCAGTTTGACTTTGATGGACTTTACAATGATGAGCAGCCAATCTGTTAGAAATGGGAACTGTTTCACAAACATGCAGACACACACACACGGACACGGACACGGACACGGAGGGAGGGAGAGAGGGACAGAGAGATCTGGAGATAAAGAGGAGAACACAGAGAGCCATAGGGAAGGAGGGAGGGAGGGAGGGAGGGAGGGAGGGAGACAGAGGCAGAGAGACGGAGGGAGAGAGGAAGGGAGAAGGAGGTGCTAACTTCTGCAAATAAAAATATAACTATTCCTTAACATAATCATATATTTAAAAGTACTTAATTGCTCACCAGGTGCAACAATTTTAAAACTATCAGACAGGACTTTTTCTGTAGATAAGAGCTGGTGCAGAGGCCATAGGGAAGGAAAGGGAAAAGGAAAAGGAAGGGCATCCTGTCTACATACATTCCCGGAGAAAGCAAGGCAGGAAAGATGCTTTTCTAAGATATGTCTCGAGTTTATTGTTTTATACAATGCACTTGCAAAGGCAGGGTGCGTCATAAGTGCATGAATAAGCATTATTTTGAGTCAGAGGTGGATTTGTGTTGGCATTTTTTGTCTGCTATTCAATGTTTAAAAGTACAAGCCTTATCTCCGTTACTGGATGTTTTAATACTAATCATATTAATACCCATGTGAATGCAAATATCTGGATATATATAAATAAACTAGATGAAAAATAGTGATGCAAAGTCACAGATTAGCCCTGCATAGAGGCGTAAAACCTAATGTTTTGAAAGAGTCCCATTCCATTGTTTACTGAATGTTAACAAACCTGCTGTTTATTTAACCAAAAAGATTTGCAGCGGTTTTCCAGATGATCTTTTGTTGAGTTTATTTGGGTTTCTTTTGCTGTAAATTTGTAGTGGGTACTCAGTAGTTACATAAATCCAAATGTCCTCCCACAAGGAAGTGCTGTTGTTGCCAAGAAACATTTTCTCAGAATTCAAAAAGCAGTAATGTAAAACAAAAGCAGAAAACAAGGCCTACCTTTCCCCCAGATTCTGCAAGAGTGCCTCCCATTTCAGGAAACTGTTGCTTCTTAAATCTAAAATTAAATACCCCGAGCACCAGGTTTTTAAGAAGCATTGTTTCAAACTCATAAATAGCAATGCAACAGCAACACTCTTTAGAGAAGCAGAAACAAAATGGGTTAGTGGTGGCACATAAAAAATGATCAAGCAAATTGTGGCCTTTGGCCACAATTAGTGCATTTCACTAATTTAACTTTTTTTTTTAATCTGTAAAAAGATGTTCTTTGTTTTCTTACTTTGTTGATAATTTGTATTTTATTGATTTTAATTTTGTTGATAAATAAATCTTTCTAGGTTGATCTAAAATGATAGATAGATGATAGATAGATAGATAGATAGATAGATAGATAGATAGATAGATAGATAGATAGATAGATAGATAGATAGATAGATTTCATTCACCTGCTATTATATATTATTGGTGGAATGGATTTTCTCTGTTACTCCTGCAATCTTCCCACATGGTTCTGATCTAATCAGAAGGTAAAGCAGATTTAGAGAAAAGATAGTCTCATTGCACAAATGCAAGATTTAAGAGACTACAAGACTACAGAAAGTGGTCAATTCGGCACAAGAAACCATTGGTTGCCCTCTAATACCACTGGATGACATCTCCAGATCTCGCTGTTTCAGCAGAGTAAGGAAGATATTTAGGAATGATTCACACCCTGACCAGTGTCCCTTTTCACTTTTATCATCAGGCAGAAGACATCGAAGTATAGCCAGCTGGACAACCAGGTTTAAAAACAGCTTCTACCCATGGGCTGTCAGAATCCTAAACACAATCTCAATCACTCCACGTGCATATGGAAATGTATGACTAGTTTCTTTCCCCCCGCCCAAAAAAATTATTTGTATAAAGATTATTCTCTATACTATTCATGTTGTCTTGTATTTTCTGTTATGGATTGCACAAGTAGAGGCTAAACCAGTTTCATTGTATACATGATGTACAATGACAATAAAGGCTATTATTATTGTTTCTTTTATTTATTTAACAT